ACAATGAGGTATCACCTCACACCAGTCAGAATGGCCATCATTCAAAAAGTCCACAAACGACAAATGCTGGAGAGGCTGTGGAGAAAAGGGAACCCTCGTACACTGCTCATGGGAATGCAGTTTGGTGCAGCCACTGTGGAAAACAGTATGGAGATTCCTCAAAAGACTAGAAATAGACTTACCATATGACCCAGGAATCCTGCTCCTAGGCATATATCCAGAAGGAACCCTACTTCAAAATGACACCTGCACCCCAATGTTCATAGCAGCACTATTTACAATAGCCAAGATTCGGAAACAGCCTAAATATCCATCGACAGAGGACTGGATAAAGAAGATGTGGTGCATTTATACAATGGAATATTATTCAGCCATAAAAACCGACAACATAACACCATTTGCAGCAACATGGATGTTCCGGGAGAATATCATTCTAAGTGAAATAAGCCAGAAAGAGAAAGAACAATACCATGTGAGATCGCTCATATGTGGAATCTAAAACAAAAACAAAAACAAAAACATAAATACAAAACAGAAACAGACTCACAGACATAGACTATAAACTTGTGGTTGCCAGGGGGACGGGGGGGTGGGAAGGGACAGACTGGGATTTCAAAATGTAGAATAGACAAACAAGGTTGCACTGTGTAGCACAGGGAAATATATACAGGATCTTGTGGTGGCTCACAGCGAAAGAGAATGCGACAACGAATGTATGTATGTTCATATATAACTGAAAAATTGTGCTCTACACTGGAATTTATCACAACATTGTAAAATGACTATACCTCAATAAAAAATGTTTTTAAAAAATCCATTATGATGAGCTACTTTTATAAAAAACAGGGGTATATACATGATAATATTAACAGTAGTAACTAACAGGATTGTTCTGAAAACCGGTATTCATTCAATTCTCACAAAAAGTCTACGAAATAAATATTATAACACCCATTTTCAATTAAGAAGCTGAGCTACACTGTGACCAGCTATTGCTAACCTTGATAGATAATTCTATATGAATATTCATAAAACCTGATAGAGTCATGATTCAAAACAAAACAAAAAAATTAGATTCTAAAACCTCTAAAGACCTGATAAAATGGAGTATTTACAAAGCATCATTCTTATCTAAAATAGATGTCTCTTCATCACATCTGTAAAATTCTCACTTAAAAAAAAAAAGAACACCTGACAGAATGCTGTATGTTCTAAGGGAAGAGACCAAACTCTATTCTAGCTACCCACTGCGCTTCACTTCTACCTTCAAACAGAATTATCTCTCAGTTTTCTTCACCTGAACATCCTCATCACCACACATAAATACAACAAAAACCCTAGAAATAAGAAATGTATTGGTTATGAAAATACATGTCTAACACTTCCTACAACATCTGTAGCTTCGTGCTCTAGAGCCAGACTGAAATTCTGACTCCATCACTTACTTGTATGACTTTGGGCAAGTTATTTAATTTCTCTACACCTCAGGTTTTATAAAATAGGAATAACAACGGCTTATATGCTGTGTGTGAATATATGTAAATACAGTACTGTGTACCATTCTAAGCAGATTATATACATCTATTGATTCATTTAATACTTGGACCAACCGTCTGAGGTAAAGGAGCACTATTATTACCAACATGTTCTTATAGATGAGGCACTGAAAAGTAATCTGCCCAAGATCACAAGGCTAATAAGTGGCATGGGCAGGATTTGAACTGAGTGGGATCTTCTGAATTCCATGCTCTTTATCATTAGGAGTATATACCACACAGGGTTATCATCAAGATAATTTAACACATATAAAATACTTAGCCCAGTGCCTGGCATGTAATAAGCACTCAACAAACATTTGTTATTATATTTTTTTCTTGCTCTTAGTTTAAAGATTTCTCATTTCTTTAGAGGTCAGTACTGACGAGCCGCAAGGTAAGACTTGAAATCAAACCTATGATTTCGGATGATTTGCTTAATTCATACATTGGGTTCCAAATTGTGGTAATTATGGAGACCAAGAGTTCTCTACTTTTGGCTAAAAACTGCAGAAGAATCACAACAAAAGAGAAAAATACCGTCCCCGGAAAAGTTACACATCTGTATTCACTAGTCAGGTACTTTTCAAATACCCGAAAAACTGTAGGCCACAGGAGGAGCAGGCAGAGCTAACCACATCTAATACCATAACCTGAATCCTGACAGAAGTGCAATTACTTTTAAACCAACCACGTCAAACACAGAAACTAGTGCCTCAGTAGTGTTAGATCCGGATTTTTCACCAAACCTGCTCTTCCTAATCGTCACCAAAACCACCTCACTCTTCCAGTCCCCATGCTTTACCTGGCTCTCCCGTCAACCTATGCAAGTCTCGCCTCTGGTTTTCGCTTCGTTTTTTTCCAACTTGCTAACTCGGAGGCTTAGGTGAGAAGAATGGGCTTCTCCCCAAGCACAGCCTAACACAACAACATCCGATGAAGTCCTTCCTAACGATCTTTTCTTTCTGTCAAGAGCCCGTCAGAAAACGCCAACTCCTGGGGCGTCTTTACGCTGCCCGCACGGGGCCAGGCGTAGGCCCGGGCGCACAAAATGCCCAACCGGCCCTTCCTGGAACCCCAATCCAATCGAACGCAGCCCCAGCCGGGCTCCGGAAGAGCTTTCCTCAGAAAGGGTCGCTCCTCGGATCCTTGCCCTCACTTCCCTGATAACGCCCACAGCGCACACGCTGGAGACGAAACCCTCCGAGTTTTCCTCACAAAGAGCTGGGGTCACCCGCGAGTGGTAGCGCCCCTCTAGGGGGAAAGAGGGTCCGCACCCCTCGACCCTCCCAACCTCCGGGCCCGAAATGCCCCCACCCGCCCGCCTCAGGCACAGCCCCGCGAAGGGGACGCCCCGGGCCCTCAGGCTCGACCGCGACACCGACAGCGCTGCCCAGTCCCCACCGGCTCTCTCTTGGTTCCGCCCACCCGCAAGAAAACTCGATCGACAACTACGGCCAACCGCCCCTACCCCCACAAACCGCGGTACTTGGTTCCACCCACACTTCCCCCGACTCCAACCCGGTCCGACTCGGCTCCTCACCCAAAGACATATCAATTTTGTCGAGGTTTTCGTTACTGCGAGCTTTCGGTGGCGGCGGCGGGGTCGCCGTGACTCCCATTAACCGCGTACCAAACCGGCTCATGACTGGAGACGCGCTGGAACAGTCAGCGGAGAAGGCCGGAGACAGGCCTGCCACCTCCCACTCACGCACGCAGACTAGCTGCACCTACAGAGCGCGCACGCGTACTGGCGGCGTCCTCGCCCTCCCACCCACGGCTTAGGGAGGGGGAGGAACCACAGAGACGAGCGGCGGGAGAGAGAGGCCTCACGCACTGGACTCGCTCCTAGCGGCCCTTGCGGTACCGGAGGAAATATTGCACCTGTCGCCCCAGCCGCTAGCGAGGGCTGCTGTTTAAGCAGTTCGCCTTTTCACCCAAATTGTACTGGCCCTTGAGCACCTTAAAATCACATGCTTTAAATGAGATCATGTTCCTCCGTGCCCTTCGAGTCCCTCCTGCTACAGAAAGGCCCCCTGAGCTTTGATACACACGAATCTTCCATATCCTACTGCAATGCAGCCTCGGAGGCAAGACAGCCCCTGCGACCGTGGATTGCAGAACTGTGCCCCAGCTCCCCTCTCGCTGGCCAGCCCCTCCACCTGCAGCATGCGGAGTCGCCACGTCTGGACCCAAAGCAAAGACTGCACTGACAATTCTTGCGTCACCTTACTAATAAAAGTAAATGCTAATGTTTCCCGTGTCTCTACCAATTCTCAGCCGACACTCTCAAAACATTTTGCGCGATACTAGCTATCTTGATAAGACCTCGCCTTCCCTTGGGAGAAGGGTAAGTACTTCTGCTTATTTGGCTGCATTTTTCTCTGTTCATTTGCGTTGGGAATTGATAGGAAGATTCGTTTTCTTTCTAATCATCCCTATAAGAAAATTCCTTAGTATTTGATAAATTCCTGCATAATAACTTTTTTTTCCTATTTACAAAACGTAATATCCCCACTCTTCTTACCTTCTTCCCCTCCTCCAAAGTAACAGTGCTGGTATGGAGGCATTTAGATCATATCATCCTCATAGCAGCTTAAACTAAGATATTTGCATCTAAGGAAACACTCAGGGATAGGTATTCTGTTCATTTAGAAATCTCCGCTACTTCAATATTTCTTTTTATATAGAAACAAATCAGTGACCTAAAGTATTTCAAATCCACAGTAGCCTGTAAATTTTTTTTCCAAGACAAAAATACAACCATATGAGAAGAGTCAAAAAGCTGAAGACATTCTTATGAAAGGGTATAAGAAATTTAAATGATGGAAGAAGGATTGGACTCAAAAAGACCCAAAAACAATATTCAGCATGTCAAGGAAAGTAGCATGTATGCTCTTAGCACAATGTGCTTGATTTTATTACTGTTTCATCCTGCAGCTGCCACTGCTCTCCTGACTGCTATGAACTAGGGAACTGGATTTTACAGAAGTACTAGAAACACCTAAGTTTCATTGAATGGTAACTTTCACTCACATCAGTCATTCACCTTGTGAACTTGGGAGAGTATCTGGGCTTCATACTCATTTTCAAAACAGAAGTAGTTATACTAAATATATGTTATATTTATTTCTAAGATTCCTTACAGTTCTAAAATCTTCTAAGCACAAGACATTTTTCTCCACACTGTCCTTCCCTCACTAGAAATAACTTCTACAATCTCTACTATGTATGGGAGCAAACTACAGGGAGGAACATTAAATTAAGTTCTTAATTTTAGAGAGAAAATTTATGCATTTAGAGTTTGGATACATTTTTTACTCAGGCAGTATAAGACAGATAACAAAAATCCCAAATGTGTAAAACCCTCCCCACACCAATATAGAAAAATTCCCTTTTATCCTGGTTGAAGGATTGAAGCCCCATACCAACTCTCCTTAGCTCTAAAGGGAACATGCCCCAGTGTTTCATGAAGCAATTCTAGCTGTTGTGTTTCAGACTTTGAGATTTCTCCAAGGACTGAGGGTCTCAGAGTCTCAGAGCAGTCACCCAGATTCCAAAGGGAAAAACAAGAGAACAAGAGGCATTGTAGGTAAGGATAGGTCAGCCACACACAAAACAATACAAAACAAAACAGCAACTTGAGACACATACAGCAAAAGTGAAGAGGGAAACAAGCCAAGAAATCAGAACTGGGGCTTGTCCAAGAAGTTGACCAACCAGCTACAGGGCTAGGAGGTTAACCCTGCAATTTTCTGGGGCACAAGAGGCAGCTATTCATTTAATCATATATTCATTGAGCACCAGGCATTGTAATGGGCCCTGGGGATAAAATGGTGAGCAGACTGGATGCTGTCCCTGTCTTCACATAGCTTGCAAAGCAAAAAAAACATTTTTGGAGCATGTACTGTGAATAAGTCACTGTGCTGGACACTGAACATACAGCCCTTGTCTTCTGTTCAGCAGCTTCATCTAAGTGAAAACAAACATAGAATTCAAGCAACTGCACCTTCTAGAGGCTTGATTTCATACAGTGTAGATAAGACAATGTCTAGGATTGCCAGATAAATACAGGACCAGCTAAATTTGAATTTCAGGTAAACAATGAACAATTGTTTAGTATAAGTTTTATCCCAGGTTTCAGACAAACAGCATTTTTTTTTACCATAGAACACTGCATGTAATATTTAGGATGTATTTATACTAAACAATTATTTGTTGTTCATTTGAAATTAAAACTTAACTGGGAGTCTTTTATTTTTATTTGCTAAATCTGGCAACCTTAACAATATGCTTTTCTATTAACATGTTTCATACTGTGCATAGAGATCAACATTCTCTTCAAAGGTAAGCACAACTCATATATTTCACCTCTTAACTTTTTTTTATTAGTTTGTAATCTCTTTTAAGTCCCCCTTTTTTCAACTTTATTGAGGTATAATTGACATATAATAAAAGACATTTAAAGTGTGCAGTTTATACAGGTGTGAAATATATATCTGCAAAAATACCATAATCAGCATAATAAATATATCCATTATCACCTGAAGTTTTCCTGTGCTCCTTTCTAATTCCTCCCACTAACCACTGCCCAGGCAACCACAGATATGTTTTCTGTCACTATAGATTAATTTGCACTTTTTAGAATTTAAATGGAATAATATAGTATATGCTCTTTTTTATCTGGAATATTTCACTTAGCATAATTGTTTCCAATCTGTATGCCTTCTATTATTTTTCCTTGCCTTACAGCACTGACTGGGGCTCTAGTACCATGTTTAATAGTAATGGTGAAAGTGGACATCTTTGCCACATTCCCAACCTCCAGGGAGAAAACATTTAGTCTTTCACTCTTAAGTATGATGTTAGATTTTTTTTTTTTTGTAGATGCCCTTATCAGGTTGAGGAAGTTCCCTTCTAATCCTGATTTGCTGAGAGTTTTAGTTATGCATGAAGACTGAATTTTATCTAATGCTTTTCCTGCATATGAGATGACCAAATGTTTTTTTTTTAATTTATTAATATGATAAATTATATTGGCTGATTTTCAAATGTTGAACCACCCTTGCATTTCTAGGATAAACCTACTTGGTCATGGTGTATTACCCTTTTTACATATTGTTGAATTTGGATTGCTAATATTTTGTCAAGGGTATTATTTTTCATGAGTGATATTGGTGTGTAATTTCCTTTTCTTGTAATATTTCTGTCTTTATCAACTCTTTTGCTTTTCAGAAGAGTATTTTTAGAATTCATATGTTGATGTAATTTGTCTTATACTGGAATAATAAGGGAGCTAGGTATAATTTGTATTATATGTACGTATAGTATGTATCAGTTAGGTGTAATTATTATTATTATACCTAACTCCCTTAAGCTACTTGTATGTAAAGTACAGTTTTTCTTCTCTTTTCTGCTCAATTCTTCTCATTACCCTTTTGCCACTGTTTTCTACTGCAGTAGCTTTTCTTTGCTACTTTGCTACAGCTTCCTCTTTCTCTTTTGTACTGCACTTTTCTTTTGTTCTAAATGTTTCTAGCTCTCCTAGTCTTCTGCCTTTTAATATCAGGGTTCATTCATTCATTTATTCAGAGTTTGAGTCCCTGCCCTGGGCAAGACACTGTGCTATGCAGTACTGTGATACAGCTGAGAACATGAAAGGCAGAATTGCAGGCATTGCTGGAGGCATTACTAGTCTCTAATTCCCTATCAGTTTTCTCTAACTAGGTAACCTGCTTGGATCAACAGGGGAAACTGAAGGGGAATTCTTCCTCGACCTCTAGCCCACTCCTTATTTGGCCTTGTCTTCTCTGGGCAGGGCAGGGGTCCTGTCAACCAAGGGTTCTAGGGTAATTCCCTGAATGACTAATTGTGGAATTTTCTAAAGCTACACAAATTTACATAAATCACACAATTTCCCCCTAGTTATGTAAAAACTGTTTCTTTAAAAAGATGTATCTTCAATTCCCTCAATTTGTAAAAGATAGATGATAGTCTAGGAAGGCTCTGGAGAGCCAGGATTCAAGGCTTGGTGTGCTATTAGACAATCTGAGAGTAAGTTGCAAATATCATGACTCTGTAGTCTGTATCTAAGGATCTTCTTGTATACAACCATGCTAAAATGATCAAATTCAGGACATTTAACACTGATGCAATTCTATTCTCTGATGTATAGTCCATATTCAAAATTTGCCAATTATTCTAATAAATAATTATACTTTATAATATTTTCTTTCAATCTGGGATCCAATCCAGCTTCACCTGTTGCATTTCTTTGTCCTGTGTCTTTTGTCTCCTTTCATCTGAAAAAGTTTGTCAGCCTTTCTTAGTCTTTTTTGATATTTACATTTTTGAAGATTGAAGGCAGTTGTTGTATAGATTGTCCTTCAATTTGGGTTTGTCTTATTCTCAGCCTATGATTAGATCAAGGTATTCACTTTTGTTGAGAATACTACATAAGTGATGTTGAGTTCTTCTCAATCCTTAACATCAGGAGGGACATGATGTCAAATTGTCTTATTGGTGATCTTAACTTTGATCACTTAGTTAAGGTGATGTCTGCCAGATTTCTTCATTGTAAAGATACCTTTCTCCCTATATAAAATGAATGAGTAATCTGAGAGGAAATGGTTTGAGTCTGTGTAAATATCCTGTTTCAGAACAAATTTCACTAATGGCTTTAGCATCCATTGATGATTCTTGCCTGAATCAATTATTATTATGATGGCTACATAGTGATTTTCTAACTCTATCATTACTCTACATTCATTAGTTGACATTCTACTATGAAAAGAGCTTTACTTCCCTGCCTCCTTTCTTCCTTCCTTCTTCTATTTATTTATTTGCAAACTTATTTATATACACGTATAAGTTTCCATAGAAATTCACAGACTCATTTTGTGTTCAGAAATTCCCTTCTGAAAAGCAAAGGGGTGCAGAGTGTAAGCGTTTGTTTACCTTTGAAAAGAATGTAGTTATGTATATATATATCATGAATTAACTCATTTTGATGCTCAAATTTCTTTTGACTTGGCTAGTGGGAAACATCTCTTAGCTTTTAAAGTGTATTTTTAAAAATGCTGCTGAGAATACTTTTAGTAAATATAATAAAGAGAAAATATTCATGACTATAATTGATATTGTTGAACGTATTCAAGAAGAGTATTCTTAAAACTAAATTTTTGGCAAGTAGGTAAGTATAATGAGCTTTAAAAATCTGTTACCTGAATAAGTGATTCTTAAGTGAAATTTGCTTACTGCCAGTGGTACTCTAGGACCAACTACCATTTGTATAAAAATTGCATCCTAGTGATCTTGAAAACAAATAGATTGATCAAAGATCAATAAAGTTCTTCAGGTTTTTTTGACTATTAAAAAATTAATTCAGCAAGTATTGCTAAGTAAGGTCATTACATTTATGTGACCATTACATTTATTGAACCCTGATGCTAGATATTTTTGCATATTTGATAATTTCTTGCATTTGGATCCCAGATGCACAAAACTGGGTTAATCATAGTCCTTGGTTCATGACATACTCTCATCATTTTCCATGCATGGCCCATTTTTGTTGATTAATTATTTTAAATAACAATAATTAGTTACAGCTTCATAACTAATTAGTTACTTTCAAAATTGCATTCCTACAGATCCATCACTCAAAACAAAAGCTAGAATGGACAATGAACCTATGACTTCCACTTCTAGACATGTACCCAAGAGAAACTATTGCTCATATACAAGAGGTGACACGTAAAAGAATATTCATAGAAGCACTGTTTACAATAGCAAAAACCTGGAAACAACCAAAATGCCTATCAATGGAAGACAGCATGAATAAACTGGTCCATTCACACAATGAACTACTATAAGCAATCAAAATCAATGAGCTATAGTGACACACAACAATATAAATAAATATTATCAATGTAATACTAAGTAAAAAAAAAAAGGGCCCCAAAGAATAAATACAGCTTAATATCCTTTTTATAAAAGTAAAACACAAAAACTTCTTAAATATAATTTTTAGGAATATGGATACATGCAAAGGAACTATATAAAAGGAAAAGCAGCGGAATTATAAACAAGGGATTCAGGGTAAGGGAAAGAAGAGGGATGGGATGGGATGGGGGCTGGGCACATAGTGTAAGTTATTGTCTTATTTATTAACTGACTGCTTTAAAGGAAATAAGTGTAAACCCAGTCTTGGATAGATGGAGAAATTCCTGTTTTCTAGAACTTTTACTACAATTTTAGTTCTAGAACTTCCTGATAAAGCTGATTGACTTTCATGTAAGTAAATGTAAAATCATGTGGCATTAATTTGGGATTATAATGTACATGCCAAAAAATGAAGTTCATACATTTGTAGAAACAGATGGTACTGAAATTGCAATGACTAATACTGCCCCTTTCTTAAAAAGTATAACCCTGTAGTTGGAAAATATGAAAAAGTTTGAATAAGGAGTATTTTTTATATAAATGGAAATTGGAACTCATAATTTACATTAAAATTCTCTTTCATTTCACTTTTAATTCACAAAACAGTTTTCTTAAGTTTGAAAATTCCTAGAAGTCGTATTATTTTTAATGGAGTACCTAGCTTTTATGGAGTTAGCCTATACCCCTCCCTCACAGAGTAGTTCTGAGTCTATAGCCTTCCTGTGGCTCTAAGCCCAGCCTCCTTGTTCCATACAGCCAATGCCCTAGTTTAGGCCTGAACTTGCAAACTAGTAACCCAAAGGCCACATTTAAGCCTACAGATTTGTGGGGTTTTTTTTTGGCGGGGGAGGGGGGCGTGTAATGTTTACATTAAAAAAAAATCTCTTGCCAATATTTAAAAATTTGGAAATTGTACTTAAAAATGCAGATTTCAGCTTCACTGAAAAATCAGGGTATTTGACAACTCTAGGCCCATATGCCCATTTAGTAACATTCAATTATAGCTAAGGTGAGACTTTTCCTTCTTGGTTGAGGCATGGGAGTTCCAGTTCAGAGAGTACCATTCTCCAACAACTTGCTCACTTCACTCATTGACATTACTTGCTTGGCTACTATAGGGACTTCCAACTTCCCATATCCATTCTTCTGCCCTTACCTCCAACATATCGCATTCCCTCTCTACGTTGTCAAAAGTAGCTTTCTAAGCAGGCTTGATCAAATCACTTCTTAATTTGCATTTCCATGATTTGCTCCTAATTGTTCTCAGAACAAAAATCCAAACTCCTTATAATGGCTTCATGATCTGGTTTGTCTGCTCACCCACACCATAGTGTTCCTCACCTCTTCCCAGCTCTGATGACTACTCAGAACCATCAGTTCCCAAACCAGCATACTTTCTCATGTCTGTGCGGCTCTCTCCACCTTCTCTTCCTTTCTTCTGGCTAAATCATACTCATCCTTAAAAACTCCGCTCTGACATCAGTCCTCCAGGAAACCTTCCCCCAAAGCCTTTTCCTCCTGCTCTTCCTTTGTGATCCCAAAGCAACCTGAACCCTTCTGACTGAGCGCTTCATTAAAATATTTGAGGTCCTCAAACACCACCATCAAGTGTTAAACCAGGGTAGGCCGAAGTGGAGTTAACCGAACTTGGATTAAGGCCAGCATTATTTTCTAGTCTAGCCCTCCGACCAAGTTGGGTCCCAAGGGTGAAGAGTTATAACAGTGCGTTAAGACTCCGGCCTCCGGCCTCCGGAGACTAGCGTTGGTTGGCGTTTCAGACCTGCTACCCAGCGGGGCGCACGACGGAAAGCTTGCAGACTGGGTCTGAAGTCCGCCGCGAGCGCAGCCTCTGATTGGATAGGGCGGTGCATGCCGGGCCTTCGAAGTGCTTGCTGGGAGTTGTAGTTCTTAGAGCCGGAAGTGTGGGTGGCAGGGATAGAAACCGCAGCTGAGGCAGCCGTCACTGCCGCTGCCATCACCCGGCTGTAGTGCATCACCCTGCACCCACCGGCGGTGGGTGCCTCCTCCGCTCCCAAGGGGCTCAAGGAGTCCTGAGGGGCGAAGCGGCAGGGACGCTTCTCTCTTCAGAGAAGAGGCGACGTCGCAGCCCCGGATGCGGCCAGAGGGCGCGAGAATGGAGCTTGGCGGCTGCGAGGAGGGCTTGCCGGAGGAGAGCAGGTGGGCTGGGAAAGGCCACGGGAGTCGCGGGCGGATGGATGCGCTGAAGCAAAGGGAGGCTTAGAAGGGCTCGGAGAGCACGGGGAGACGTGCTGGATGCGACAGACATGAGGGAGACTGTTGTGGGCGACTTGTTTGGGAAGAAATTCTGAAAGGAGTGACAGGCAGGGCGTGGATAGGGCGGACGAGGGAACAAGCTCAGTGAGGGTAGAGGAGGAGGGATAAGGATATGTTCAGGGCAGGGGAGCAGAAGTGGGTGAAGCTCAGACCCAGGGCTGCTGGAGAGGAGGTGGATATTGAGAGGTGCTGTAGTGAGATTTCATAGGCCAGAGTCTATAAAAGGGAGTAAGGGACAAGGTTGGTGCCCCGACTGAAACTTGCGATGATAGCAAGCCAGGCCATTATTAACAAGGTTGAAGTGACGATTTCTGGGAGCAAAGGTTAGGCATTACGAGTGGCCTAGAGAGAAACTTAGGCAAGATGAATGTGAGGAAGGAAGAAGGCTTGAAGGAGGGCCTCTGGATGAAAGTGGGCGATTGTAATGGTAGTAAATGGGGGTGGGGACTTGCTAATGAGACTGGAAATTGCATGCTTGCCCTTTGTCAATGCCGGATCCCGGTCAGAGAGTAGCAGGACCTCTGTCTTTTCTTTTTCACCTTCAAACGCTTCAGCTTTCCCCCACAATGCAGCTAAGGAATTTCTCGTTTATTTATATGGAACTGTTGTCTTCGAGTTCACATCTTCAAGAAATTAGAAAATTTAAGATTTTAAAAACTACTTTGGCCAAATGGTGGCTTGGACTCTGTAGAGTTGCTTTCCATATGTAGGGTTCGCTTCATAAATAACTCTGGTCTTAAATGCTTAAGAGTTTAGAATGGAAAGGGTAGAGCAGGAATGTGGCTTAAGAAAGCCTTTATTGACTTTTTAAAAATTCAGATATAGTTATAGTCTCAGGAGCAGAAAGATTCAAAGACTGGAGGTAGAATATTTATCTCTGAGAAAATATCAACAGGGGGAAATTAATGAGATGTTGTACCTGGGTAAAGACCTGGCTGTTTTAAAGAGTGACTCCTTTTTTATGTGCACAGTTAGTCTGTGGCTTACTTTTCAAATCCTGGGCTGACAGGACCTTGGGGTTCCTGCCGAGATCTGTGAGTGATGTGCTCAGTGAAACTGAACATCTTACTTCCCTTTTCCATATTTCAGTTTCTGCTTGTGTATATTTGGCCATTTATTCTTCCTCAAGATGTCTGTGAACTGTGTCATGTAAAAGGTCCCATATAAATTCTAAGCAAATTTTAGGATTATTTATTTTCTTCTACCAGTTTATGTGTGAGAGATTGGGTTGGAAATTGAAGTTCAAATTTCCTCCCCATCTACCTGGGTTAGTTATTTATTTAATGTATATAACAAACACTTATTTACTACATGCCAGGCATTACTTAGGAACCTTACAAGTATTATTTAATCTTTATAACAACTGCATGCAATAGGTAACTATATTATTATCATTTGACAGATGAGTAAGCTGAGGCATAGACAGAATAAATAACTTGCCAAGGTTGTATGGTAAGTCCTTGGTGAAACTGGGATTCAAACCCAGGCAGCCCGGTTCCACTTTTAATACCTATGCTATATTGCCTCTCACTATGCTAATATGCTTGGGACAAGAAATGTATAAGTTGTGAATGTCATAGCATTCTTTGCCTGTCATTAAGGACAGTAGGACAACTCCATTGCAGGTATCTTTTTCTGTCTATTATTCTTTCCATGCTTGCCACTTGACCAGGGAACTCTAGTCAAAACTTAATTTCAGCAGTGGGATTATCCTGCTATGTAATACAAGTGTGATATAGCCTACTCTCTGTTGTTGGCTGATTAACTTAGAAGGTGTTGTTTAATGAGGCTTTGTGGCACTGATGGTCTCCTTAGTTCCAGATAGTCAAATGGTAAAAAAATACATGCCTTGTGCCTGAGAATTGAGGCATTATGGTTGGGTCACTGCAAACCTAACTTTTCTATGGCCAATAAAACCCCCAAATCAGAAAACATTTTCTTGATAAGATGACATCATTTTTTTAATATATAAAGGGTAAAACGTTTCAATTATTTTCTGAAAGCAGTTGATGTAGTGAAATGTGCATAAGCTTTTAAATCAGGTAGATATGCATTTGAGTTCTAGCTCTGCTGCTTAACTTGGCTCATCCTGTTTGAGTAGGAAGAATAATACCTCCCTGAGTGATAAGTTGGAAGGATTCAATAAGAAAATGTGCATAAAGCCCCTCGCAGAATGCCTGGTATGTACTGAGTGCAAAAAATGTCTATTTCTATTCCCTCACCAGTTTTATTGAAATAAGGTGGGTGTGTGCTCTTCCAGTTGCCATTTGCACAGGTATCATCGCTTGCTCTTTCTTCTGCCATGGCTCCTCTAGCAGCATTGAGCACACTGGGGGCTGGGGTGTTGACCTAGCTTTTAACTGCATCCTTGGAGTGGAATGTCATAGATTTCCCTATTGTTTTCCATCTAATTAGTCATCACCCTAGCAAAATGCTGTAGTGCTTAGGGATGATACTTCAGTCTTTCTAGGGTTTCCTAAATGCCAGTTGTTTGGAAGTTGTCTGGTGAAATTACTAAACAATTAATGGAATGGTTCTTCTAGCATTGCTCTGTCACCCTCAACTGCCTTGGACTATGCAGTCTACTTCTGAGCTTGGACGCAGCTTCCTGCACAGTTTTCCTGGTGCAGTGGTCCAGATAGAGTCAGAATTCAAGTGTTAAGATACTCTTTAGTGTCTCCAAACAGAACTCATTATGTTGACCAAAACCTTTTCTTCCTCTTTTCTCTATCTCAGTTAATAATGTTTTCCATTCAGTCAATCAAGCCTGAAACCTCAGAGTGAAATCTGATACTTCCCTTTCCTTCATTTTACATATCTAAGCCATCACCAGGTCCAATGAATTCTGTTTCTGGTTTTTCTTCTGAAGCTTTTTTTCCTCTCCATTTCCAAATATATTGGCTTATATTACAAAAAAAATCCAGGGAGCGGTATTGCTTCAGGAATGGCCAAATGTAGGTGCTTAAACAAAAATTTGTCTCTATGTATGGGCTCTTTTTCTCCATGTGTTGTCTTCATTCTCAGGCAGATTTTTCTACAGGATAACCCTGAGCAACTTTAAGTTTAGCAATCCAACCAAAAAGAAAGAAAGAAAAAAAAGCAATGCCAATAGGTTCAGCAAAAGTGAAAATTCTGGGGCTGACTCTTTTTGGGCTGACTTCAGTTATGTTCCTGTTCTTGTAATCAGGGTATGGAATATGTTGCTCAGTCAGGTCCAAATTATATGTCCAATCCTGGATCCTGGGGTAGGGTAATACTTTCTTGGAACTTCATGGACCAGATTAAGTGACAGAGAGGTGATTCCCCTTTAAAAAAAAATCAGTATTCTGTTACCAAAAGAAAGGGACATGAATTCTGGGCAGATATAAACAAAATATTCACTGAAGACCTTTATTATTTCTCATTGTGGATTCTCTCGGTCTCCTGACTAAGCTCCCAGCCTGAACCCAGTCCGTCAGTTCCAGACAGCCTCCACATTGCTACCAGATTAATTTTTCAGAAGCAAAGTTACTGTAATATTTTGCTCAGAAATGTTCAGTGATTTCTCATTGAAAATAGAAAGTCAAAACTTCGCTGGTAGTTAATCTGTACTTCAGTCCCTGTGAAGTTCACAGTTATAAAACCAAGGCATTCGCTTACTCTCACGTCTCCTTCCTCACCATTCTCATTCTTGCTCCTCTACCTTCCCTGCATTACCTCCTCATTTGCCTGGAGGGCTCTTAGTATTCCTTTAAATAATGCTCCTTCAGAAGGCATCCCAGACCTGTCCTTTTGCATCTCTCTTATTACAGCACTTCTCACTTCATAGCATTTTTAAAAAATGTAAGTGCCCATTTTCTCCATTGCATTCTGAATACCGTGAGAGCTGGGGACTTTCCCGCTTTAACCACCATAAGCCCAGTGCCTAGCACGGTGCCTGACATATAATTAGTATTCCATGGATATTTATTTAAGAAATGAAATGGCAAAAGTTTGGTCATGCTTTTTATGGTTAGGCAGGTGTCAGTGGTACTGCTGCCATTGAAAGGGCCTCTTTTTTTCCCTTTCTCTTTATTCATTTTCACATTTATCTTCATTTTCTATTCTCTTCCCTTTCTTTCCTTTTTTCCTTTGACCATGCTTTGACAGTTCATATAGCACTGGTAGCAGGGCAGGAGGATCACATGATTTTTGAGCAATCCATATTGCCAGTCCAGTTTAGTATCCAAAAAACCCCACAGAAACACACTTTTGAAGCTTTTAGGGAAAATGCTATTGTCAGAGCCCAGGAGCAGGAGGTGTTATCAGCTGACAGCAGGGACCATAAGCTGAAACTTTTCTCAGTATCTACTCTCCCCACAGCTGCCTCTGATTTTTATAGCTGCTTTATCACTTTTTCCATAAATGGAATTTTTTTTCTGTTTTTAGTTTTGTTTTGTAATCTCTCCTCAAGTTTCACCAACCTACCTGGGTGGTTATAGAACAGCTCTCTTCAACATGATAGCCACTAGCCACATGTGATAATTTTAGTCTGAATTAATTAGAAGTAAATAAAATTTAAAATTTCAGTTCTTTAGTCACTCTGCACAGACTTCAAGTGCTTAATGGCCAGAGTGCCTAGTGCTGCCATATTGGACAACATGGATATAGAACATTTCCAGCATCACAGGAAGTTCAGTTGAACAGTGTTATAGACTTAAATCTGAATATTTCAGGAAAGAACTTTAGCATACTTACATGTTTTTAGTTCCTCTGGATCAGGCTTACTTGAAGTGTAACCTGCACTTGTTTGGGAAGAGAGAAAATTATTAAAGGAAGACATAAATTGTAGTGACTAAATAAGGACGTGGCAAACTGTCTCTCAAAGTTTATAGGGCCATACTCTTTGCCAGTGAAACTCACAA